TCCCCAAACCCAGCTTATGCCATCCCAGTCTGAACTAGTGGACTGCTGGTCATCACTGCCCAGCTTCCTGGCCCTCAGGCTCACCCTTGGCACTGTGTGCACACTCAGACTCACTGTTAGTCATGTGACTACATTGTGTAACCCTCTGGGCATATTTCCCTATGGAACCTCAAGGGTTGGGTTCCTAAGAGGGGGATACTGTCATATCCATGACTCTTGGACTCAATCCTGGTCCAGTCTGGACCCCTAGCCCCTAACTCCAGTCAACTCTGGTCCTAGTCTGGCCTAGAAAACCTAGCTCCAGTCCTAGATAACCCAACTCCAGCCTAGGTAGCTCAAGTCCAGTCTTTTACCCCTATCTCCAGTCCACTCTGGCCTTGTGCTGCTCCACCCCAGTCCTCCCAGGTCCATGTCTGGGTCACCCTGACATAACTCTGGTCTGTTTTCCTTTGTTTGTACTATATTTAGCTTGGTCCATTCATCTGACTTTTGCTTACTGTACAAATCCTGTGTCTGACCCTGGTTATGCCAGTCACCTGGACTTTAACTATTAGTCTTGGCACAGCCTCCATGGCTGTCCACACCTTGTTAATCATCTCACTAATAGCTTATTAACAAGTCTGGCTCTATGTTCATTACCCTGGACTGGCCTTGCATATTTAACCCATGTACATACTTTGTGGTACTCCAGTCAGAATATCAATTTAGTATTACCCTGAGCTCTGTACTACACCCTGAGTCTACTCTATAGCTAAGGCCAAGCCTTAAGCTGCCCCCAGCCCCTGTCCTGGACCTCTCCCCAGCTTGCATAAGGGTACAGCACATAAGCTGAGACCAAGGGAGGTAGATCCAACCCTGGACCAGCTTCCCCCTGTGTGCGCTCCAAGACCAGTCAGTTTCCCATGCTACTGGCCTTGTTCCCATGCTCTGTTAAGTACAGGTTTACCCTTGGGTGACCAGGCTTCAAGATCAGGTGACAGGGGCTAAGTCCAGCTGACCAAAGTCAAGGCCAGGAGATAGGGGCCAAGTCCAGTTGGACTGGAGTTAAGGCTGGAGGTCAGGGGCTAAGTCTGGAGGACTGGACTTAAGGCCAGGACCATGGGAATAAGACCAGGACCATGGGAAACTGGCTGGTCTTAGAGTGTGCACAGGGGGAAGCCAGTCCAGGGTTGGATCTACCTCCCTTGGTCTCAGCTTATGTGCTGTACCCCTATGCAAGCCAGGGAGAGGTCTGGGACAGGGGCTGGGGATAGCTTAAGGCTCAGCCTTAGCTATAGAGTGGACTCAGGGTGTAGTATGGAGTTGAGGGCAATACTAAATTGATATTCTGACTGGAGTGCTACAAAGTATGTGCATGGGTTAAATACATGAGGCTGGTCTGGGGTAATGAACATGAAGCTGGACTTGTGAATAAGCTATTAGCAAGATGATTAGCAAGAGTGTGGACAGCCATAGGGGCTGTGCCAAGGCTAATAGTCAAAGTCAAGGTGACCAGCATAACTGGGGTCAGACACAGGATTTGTACAGTAAGCAAAAGTCAGATGAATGGACCAAGCTAAATATAGTACAAACAAAGGAAAACAGACCAGAGTTATGTCCAGGTGACCTGGACATGGACCTGGGAGGACCAGGGTGGAGCAGCACAAGGCCAGAAGGCTGGAGTGGACTGGAGATAGGGGTAAAGACCAGACTTGGGTTATTCAGGCCAGAGTTGGGTTATCTAGGGCCAGAGTTTGGTTTTCTAGGCTGGACTAGGACTGGACTCAGCCCCTGTCTCCAAGCCTTGACTTTGGTCAGCCAGACTTAGCCCCTGTCACCTGGTCTTGAAGCCCAGTCACCTGAGGGTAAACCTGTACTTGACACTTCACATCAAGGCCACAAAGCTGAAGCCAGTGGAGTACTAGTACTTCTTGGACATGCTGCTTGTGGGACTCCTTGTCTCTGGAGTAGATCAAAATGTCGTCAAGGTAGACAACCATGCATATGTCTAGCATATCTGCAAAGATAGTATTGATGAAGCACTGGAAAGCAGCCAGGGCATTGGTGAGGCCAAAGGGAATCACTAACCACTCATAGGACTCATACTGAGTCCAGAAGGCAGTCTTCCATTCATCACCTGGGGCAATCCAGATGAGATGGTAAGCATGCTGAAGATCAATCTTTGTATAGATTTTGGCTTGGCTTGGTGAGTCCAAGAGGTTGGAGATGAGCAGTAGCAGGTATTGGTCTTTCTTAGTGATTTTTTTCAGGCTGCAGAAGTCTACACAGAGCCAGAGGGAACTGTCCTTCTTTTTAATGAAGAGGACTGGCACAGCATAGGGGGAAGAGGTTGGATGAATGAAACTGGTGGTGAGGTTCTCATGATGAAAGTCCCAAGAGCTTGAAGCTTGAGTGGGGACAGTGAATAGATGGTGCCTAATGGTGGGGTTGTTCCTTCTTCAAGCTCTATCTTCAGGTCATACTCCTGGTGTGGTGGGAGTGCCAAGGCCTTGGCCTTGCTGAATATGTCAGCAAAGTTGTGATACTCCTCTGGGACATTGAGTAAGGCCAGAGGAGGGGAGACCAAGGCTGATTGGGCTTGAGCTGAGTCCAAGGGGCAGAACTGAAGTTGGAATTGTACAGACCCTTCAAGCTTGCAGGTGCATACAAAGGCAGCTACATTGATTAGGGAGACATGAGGGGCCTTCAGGGGTGTGCAAGTTGGGGAGTCAGAGACCAGTACAGATGGTGCATGTTATGTCCAGGTCTGAAGCTGGTCTGAAGCTGGTCCAGAGTCCAGTCAGGGGTCAGAGGATAATATGAGACACTAAGGGGTTTGGACTGTTGGACTTAGTGACTGATGGCACAGCACTATTCCCTTGTGTGGGCCATAGTCTGGTCAAGAGGCAAGAGACAGAGGACAGAGGGGACTGGGTTATGACAAGACTAAGTTGATTTCAGACTGAGGCTAAACAGATTATCCTACAGCTTAAATACTAGAAGTAACCTAAGTGTAACATAGCACCAGAGACTGGTCTGTGCTGGTACAGTGATGGTTGGTAAACTGATTGGTAAGTAATGTTACAAAGAATATTATCAAGCAAGACTATGAACAAAAGATTTACCAGGAACTGGGGCAGGACCAGTGGCTGGGTTGGGTATTACACCAGCCTGGTACCAACTGAGTGGACAACTTGATTGGGCACTGCCTTGCAGTGCCTCATGAGCTGACATGTTTCTCAGTCTAAGGGTAAAGGCTGGGACCAGGGCAAGGGTTGGATGGGACTGGTCAAGACCAGGGTAGAGCTGGTCTAGGGTGGTCTAGCCATGGTCATGACAGCACAGGGCTGGGTTGGTCACTAGGACTGGGGTCAGGGAGACCAGTGGGAACCAGGCTTACAGGGGGTGTCAATGGGGTTGGCATTCCTTGTGCAGGAGTCTAGAATGTTAGACTGCTCATACCCAATCAATCAATGGATTGTAGTGGGTGAGCCAGTCATGTCTGAGGACTATCTCTATCTTACACTCAGAATCCAATGGGGCTAAAAACAGGGTTACTGGGGTGACATTGCCAGATGTGAAGTGGATATTGACATCTACTGCTTGAGTTATGGTAAAAGTGGATGTTCCATTGAAGAGCTGGAGTTGGATTGGAGAGACTGTGCATGGGGTAAATGAGTGTTGATTAACAAATTGATTATCTATAAAAGAATGAGAACCAGAGTCCACTAAAGTTGGAAGCCAAGATAATTCTGGATTTTCTATAGTGATTTATGGGGTCAAAGAGTTTGGACTGGAAAGAGCAGACACATTGAGATGAGCCTCCAAGTTTGCACAACTGGAGTCAACACAGCTTCCAGTTTGTGCAGAGTCCCAGGAGCTGCTACCTATTATTTTGTCTCAGGGGTAGAACCCAAGCCCAAGGCCAGTACAGCCTCAGTGGTGGCCACAGTGTGAGCCTTGGCCTTACCAGCTTTCTTGGGGCATTTGTCAGTGAAGTGACCAGGGCCTCCACAGAACATGCAGAGGTTGCCCTCAATGTGACACTTGTGTTCTTCTGGGGTGAGCTTCCTGTCTTTGCTGAGTTTACTAGGCTCAGGCTTGGACAAGTTGCTGTTATTGCCTGGCTTCAATGAAGCTGGCTTAGGGGAGAGATCAGAGTTATCATTGTTACCAGTCTTGGGCTGACTGTTGTTACTGGAGCTGCTGGACTTATTGTTGTTGGAAGAGGACAAGCCCTGATGCTTACTTGCCTGTTGGATTTCTTCCCTGCACTCCCAATAGTGCACATCTATTTCCTGGGTGAGGTGGTGGAGCTCATGTAGAGTCTGCAGCTTGCCAACCTGACAGACTTCATCCTTGATCTGGTCTGGGAGCCTGGAGTAGAAGTGATGACATAGCACACCATCCCCATAGCCCTGGACTTGTGAGGCAAGCCAGTTGAAGTCGACTACATACTTATTAATGCACTGGTTGTCTTTCATATGCAGATGGTCAAGCTGACTCTCAGTGTCAGTGACTGGGTCATGAGGGCTGAATGTGGTTTGCAACTCCAGGATGAACTCCCTCCAGGAGTCCATCCAGAGGGGCCAGTCACTGGAGTCCTCAACCCTGAGCAAGTCTGGCTTGAACCACTCTAGGGCCATGCCTTTAAGGTAAGACTGTGCAAAGATGAATTTGGTGTGGTTGGTCCTGATGGCCCAAGGCTGGTCTTGGAAATTTAGCTTGCACTGAATGAAGAAGGCATGAATCCATGTGTTTTGAATGCTTTGTTTCTTGGAGAGAAACTATGTACAATGAAAAGTAGCTCATGGGGTGTTGCTAATTCAAACCGAAATGTACAAGGGTGAGAGTCTAGGGTGGAAGTGTGATTTGGGTGAAAACACAAAGGGTTTTCTGGCCTGGAGGAGGTACTGTACCTGGGCGAAGAGTGAGCTGTGTCCCAAGGGACAAGGAGCCCAGCAATGCATACAGCAAAGCTCTTGGCCCTGTGAAGAGGAGGTGGGTGCTTACTTGATGCTTTAATGAACTGGTGGCATCATATATCTGGTAAAATGTTCAAGTAGAGCTGGAGTGTCATTGAGATATGGGGCTAGTATCATTGCATGTTGGTGCAGGTATAAAGTGAATGAGTCTCCTGCCCATCTGCCAATCATTTTCACTATGTTGAAAGGGATCCCTTGGAGCAAGTAATGTAGGGTCCCACCTATTCTCAGGCTGTGGCCTGTGATGTTGGGGAGGTTGTGCTCAGTTATTAGGGTGCCTATTCTCCTGGTTACTTCTGTTTTTGAGAGCAGGTGAAGACCAAATATGGGGTGCTTCCAGGCAAATAAGTGTGCAGAATCCTCTGCTGGGTTGAGGTTGAAGTGACACTTGGGAGCTTTGATTGGGTCTGTTATTGTGCCATTTAGAGGTGCACATTGTGCATCTTCCCCTGTCAGTGACATCTTTGTCCAGGGAATGTGGAGTTTTGTTATGGGTAGGCTGCTGAGATTGTGCAGATGAGTTATGTGCACTCTGGTGATATGCTTCATCAGGTCAAATTGCTTGATCATGGGTACTGTGAACTCCCCTAAACAAGCAACACAGTAGAAGACAATTGTCATACAGGTGAATATGGCTGTGTCCTTGGGGTTGTTCAGATCCATCAGCAAGTGGAACAGCTCCAGGGTGTTCACATGTAGTGGTTTGTGCAGGGCTCATTTGGATGACACAGGGGCTAAGTGTGATGCTCCCTCCAGTATGGTGTGAAGCTCCTCAGGGTTGATGCTCCAGGGCAAACTGTGTAGGAGGTGCCATGCTTGTAACCCAGCTGTGAAGTTCAACAATGCTGATCCAGAATAGGATCTGGTGCAACTAGAGAGGAATGCTAGTAGCATGTTGGCTATGATTGGGGCTTGCTGGGCTTCTGAAAATCCATGAGTGTCACAGAAGATGTGATAGGTGAGCAATCCAGTGCCATATGTTTCCTTGGTTTTCTCTGCCCAGGAGGCCCCTATTACTTTGAGGATGTGATCCACCTGTTGGTTCATTATTGGGTGCATGTCCTCTCTTTCTAACTCACAAGCAGCTCTTGATTGGGTAGGAGGTGGCAACCATAGTTGTAGATGTTCTTTGGCTAAGCAATGAGGATGCAGTGGTGACAGTCTTGGGGTTAGGCTGGGATGGTAAGGACAGGGTGGGGCTGTAGGGGTTAGGGGGTGTTCTGATGTTGTTAGTGGGGCATCAAAGTGCTGGTGTGGTTCAGAGTTGATTGGCAAGGAGGGATTGTTGGATGAGGTTGCATTCCTCTGTGGCTGTTGCTCCTCTTTGCTCCTTGGTCTCAAGAGCAATTCAAGTGTGGTCAATGATCTTGGCTACTAGGGAGGGGTATACTCCTTCTCTCCTGAGGCAGAGTTCAGTATGGTTGGGTGGGGCAGTCACATCGATGATGAAGGGTTGGATTTAGATAGGGACAGGGATTGGAGGGAGGAGAAAGTGTGGATGGCTGTATATTCCCCTTGATAAGGGGTCAGCTGGGTTGTTACTGCTGGGGACATATCTGTTGAAATAACCACAATCTGAGGCCACTGGTGCCCAGTGTAAGAGACTGATGAAAATTTCACTGGGCACACAGCAGTAAGTGCACAAAAATGATAAACAAATGCAAACCAAGGACACTTAGAGCAAAGCTAAGTGCCCACTACATGTCTGTAGGGTTAGATAGAAATAAAACAAAGGAAAAATGCGGTCTGAGGTGCACAGGCACCTAATGTGAACAATATCTCATGTGGATCTGATCAATGTGAGGGGAACCAGCAATGAATGCATGTATTTGTTTGGAAGTTTCTTTGACATGGGGATTGCAGTGGCAACCATTTCTTCATCCTTCAATGACTCTGGTGTTATCTCTGAATGTGATGATTGTGAGCATGCTGTCTTTTGTGACAATGCGATTGATTGCATAGACCAGAAGCTTGAAGGCAATGGCTTTGGCCCAGCCAATGTCTCTGTTTCTGTCCCAACTGATCTCCCAGCCTGGTATGAGTCTCAACACTCACCAGTGCTCACCAATTTTGATCCCAATGCCAATTTTAGAGCTAGCATCAGAGAAAGCTAAGATGTTGATGAGGAGGTTGGGAGGGGAGATGGGACATTGCACACTCCCAGATTGAAGTTGGTCTGTCCACCAGTCAATGTCATTGGCTACTCTTTTGTCTGCCCAATGGGGCATGAGCAGTTTCACTGTGTTTGTTTTTAGCATTGCCTCCAGGCCTGTTAGGTACACCCTGCCATGTGGCAGGGCTGCACATGCATGTAGCAATTTGCTGTACAGTTCCTTGATGTCTTGTAGTACATGAGTGGGCCATTTACACCACATGTGGATTGCCTTAAGGTACTTCACTGTTTTTGATGGACTTAGTGCAATGTGATGGTTTTTGAGATCCCATAGGAAACCTATGTATGTTGTGGTGTGGCTAAAAGGTTGATCCTTCATTTTCTCCCAGGGGATTCCAAGGGACTCTGATAGTGTGTCTATGTCTTTGAAACTGTATGAGAAAAGCGAATCATGCATGGATCTCAGAGATCTCTAGGAGAGGTCTTGGATTGGCTGTGAGCAATTTTCATTGAATTCTTCTGTTGTCTCATCATCTCAGGTTCTGCCCAGAAAAAGCATTCTAGCCCCTCAGCATTGGGGTTCTGATGATGCTATTTCTGACTGCCACTGTTTTCTTAGTTTGTTGTAAGCTGCTAGGTACTTGCATCTAATGCATGTGAAGATGTGATTCTATGCACCTGTGAGTTTCTGATATCCTTACCATGTTTGCCAGCCACTGTGATGGGTGTAGAGGGATTGTTTGATAGGCTTTGGCGATGTCATGGGTGGCTAGTTTGGATCCAGGAGGTAGGTGCGAGAGTAAAAGGTACACTATAGCAAATGTTCCCCACATCATTGAGAAGTTGTGTGCATTGATGTATGAGTTGATTGAGGGGTTGGGTGCATGTGGGTTCAGGGAGTGTGGGAGTGAGAAATTCTGGACTAAACAATATTTGCCTGGGTAGACTCATTTGGGAATAATGGACAGCAGGGACAACTGGAAAGGTCCTATTAATTTGATGATGGAGTCTAGCATGAAAGGGCCAATATAATGGCCCTTTCTGAGTTCTTTAGATATTGTCATACTGAGTTGGTCATTATAGGTGTTAACAGAGTCTCTGTTAGAAGGGGATTGTACATGCACAATTGATGGGAAATGTATTATGAATCCATGGCAGAGGCCCTCTGGGATTTTATTGAAGCAGTGGGTTAAACTAAATGTTCTGAACTCTCATTCCCATGCATCTATGTTATGCAGTGTTGCCAGCTGTAGCTTTCTGTGTGCAAGGGCATCTTTTGGCTCCATGAGTTGTTGCTCTGCACCCCAAGCACATGTGCTTGGTGTCATGGTGCTCTGACCAGCCTTCCTCTCATTGCCATTTGGCACAGATGTGCCTCCTGTTGTCCCTAGCAAAGAGTGCCTTGTGAACATGCTCTGCAAAGATTGCATGTTTCCTGTCCCAAGTGTGAGAGGCTCTGCTTTTGATGATGAGATGCTGCTGTCTTCTGAGGCAGACAGCAGATGCTGGGAGGGGTCCATTGTGTGGTAGATAGTCCAATGAGGTATGGGTCCAAAAGGACCTTTGGTGTTTGTGGTCTGCATAGTCTGATGAGCAGGTGTGATCTCCAGGGGACAGTGATTGTTTTGTGCCACTTGGAGTCCTCATTGGGTGGTTGGCAGATGTGGGTTGTGCTGCTAAGGCTGTGAAGTGCTCATTGACCTGGGTATGGTTGATCAATGGACATGATGCTGGAGGGGGGGGGGTAAGGTTTGTGATCAATGGGTGTGATGCCAGATAGCAGAGTGGAGTAGAAGGTATGGTTGTTCAATGGATGTTATGCCAGGGTTAGTGTGTAGCATGGTGGAATATGTGAGAGAGGGGAATGGGGAATGGTGTGCAGGGAGAAGAAGGGGGGGGGGAGTGGTCAGGTTGAGTGGTGTTGTGATGCTGATAACCCACACCTTTCTGAGATTGTTGAGTTCTTGGTAGTACCCTTTGTCACATATCTCTTCTCGGGCATCATTTAGCAGTTCTTGGTTCAACTCTGCTAGGGACCAGGTGTTGAGTGTCAACAACACTTGGTGCCACCTCTGTCTCTGTTGGCTTTGGTAGAGTAGTAATGCTTTCTTGAGGTGAGCATGAAGGGAATGGCACCATGGGTGAGCCTCGATGGCTGTCCAAAAATCTATGTGCATGTCTATTCTTTCTTCCTCCCAGTCATGTTCCTTCATGGCACTTATTAGATGGATGGTGGCCTCTCTGGACTGCTCCCAGGTTAAGTCCTCATCTTTTATAACAGATGACTTATCTCTAGTGGTTGAAGCTGGAACCCAGATGTGTTGACCATTGTCAGCTTTGAGTAGGGTTAGGGCTTTGTCATCTACCAATGGGTTGAAGGACTCTGCATCTGCTAGGCCAATGTTGGTGAAAAAGCAGAGTTTGACATATTCACCTTTCTTGAGTTTGTGCATTGCATATGGGGAGGGGATGTTGACAGGGCCTGAGGGAACCCCTACTTTGCATATTGGAGCATGCTTGACTCTGTTCATTTTGTGCTCTTCTGCTTGCACTGTTTCTGCTTCTTTGAGTCTGCAGCATTGTAGTTCTTCAGATTCTTCTTCAGCTTGCTCTAGTTCTTCTTGTGTTCTTTGGGCTTCTTGTTCTTTGCACACTTGCCAGTTGAGTTTTTCTTTATTGTTGTTTAGTGTCCATAGGGACACTAGGATGTTGGCAGCTTGTTGACCATTTACTATGTCATTAATGAGTTGAAGACAAGCATCTTGATATTCTTCTGTGGTAAAATTGGGCTGTACTGCCAGGTTGGGATTTTCCATCTGAGAGCAGTCGATGTGAAAGACTAGAAGAGATCTGCATGAGGGCTGGAGGCACAGAGACTGCAGTTCATGAAGTGTGCAGAAGTAAGAGATGCATCACACTTTGCTTACTCACACATGGACTAAATTCTATGTAATGCTTCATGCCTCTGCTTACATGGAAAACTAGCTTCTTGGGGTCAGTACCATCAAAGGTGTCAGGCTCATGCAGCTTGGTCCTGCTTGATGACTCAGGACTAGTGCAGTTGTTGTGAGCCAGTGGCTTGATGGCCTTTGTGAGACTGTCAAAGACCACAACCATGGGTTCAGTGTCCAGGTCTGGGAAGTCCAGTTCATCCTCCAGATCATTCTCATCCAGATTATCATCACCAGGCCCATCATCATCAGGACCATTGCTGGGGTCATCATCATCAGGATTGTTGTTATCATCATCCCCCAGCCCATCATCCCTGGGATCATCATCAGGGATGGGGGCAATGGGGCAACATGGGGTGGGAGTATTGGATGCTTGGGCTGGAAAGCCCCTGAAAGGACTAATGGGGTCTGGAGAGCACCTAGTGGTGCCCATGGCAGCTAGTGCTGTCTCATGACAAGTTCCACTGGCTGAGTTGGATTTGGGGTTGGTGGCAGCATGGCCACAGGGAGGTTGGAAATGAGTTTTAGTAGCCATGATCTGTTAGACCTACACAAGTGGTGAGTCTGAAATACTGTCAAGTTCATGATGTCTGGGTTTGAGGCCAGACTGGAGACTGAAGCAGGTGCAGGGCTGAGGGGTTGGGATCAGGGGGAAAGGCAAAGATACAGAGAGTGGACTGTTTGGACTTAGTGACTGAGGATGCAGTGCTATTCCCTTGTGTGGGTTTCAGTCCAAGTCCAAGGCAGGGTGATCAGAGTAACTTAGTTGATTTCAGACTGAAGAGTACAAGCTGAGTATCTATGGGTTTATATACTAGAGACAGACTATAGTATGGAGACTGGGAATGCCAGTCTTGCAAAGATTGCTAAGATGATTGGTAAGACTAGTATTAGTAAGGTATGACTAAGGTGACTGGAGACTGGGATGGGGTGGACCAGGGACAAGACTGGGCAGGGTTCATCCAAAGTGACATGCACTGCAAAGCAGTGTTAACTGTGCTAGACCAACTGGGGGAAAGCAACTGGCAAGGCCAAGGCTGGACTGGATGAATGTGAGGCTGAGTCTGGCTGGGGTCAAGGCACAGTTATGACACCAGGTTGGCAAACCCAGAACCCTGCACAAGCTTTGCTACCTAGCCCAGGAGATTGATGTGTGCTACTGGGAATGCAAGGAGGAGGTTCAGCAGTCCAGTATGTTAAGATATCCCAATACTCAGCACTCTATGTGCACAGAGTCAGTAACTAAAGAACAAGATACTGTTCATATTAGGTGCCTGTGCACCTCAGACCGCATTTGCCCTTTGTTTTATCTCTGTCTAACCCTACAGACATGTAGTGGACACTTAGCTTCGCTCTAAGTGTCCTTGGTTTGCTTTTATTTATTATTTACATTTGTTTATCATTTTTGCACACTTACTGCTCTGTGCCCAGTGAAATTTTCTTCAGTCTCTTACACTGGGCACCAGGTACAGTCCTGTATTACTTTACTCAATAATAGTCTCTTACACTGGGCACCAGTGGCCTCAGTTTGTGGTTATCTTAACAGATACTCTGTGCACAGTAAAAATGCGAACACTGAACAAACAAAGAAAAACTGATGAAAATAAGTGCACACATCATTAATATGGAAGGTGGGGAACCTGTGAATTAGTCTGAGGTGCACAGGCACTAATAGCAACACAGTAAGCACCAGGGGTTGTCCTCTGGTAACAAGTCAACTTGTTAAGTCCATGTCTAGGGTGGGGGTTGAAGGCTGAAGGCTGAGACCTGATACAACCACTCTTGGTCTTAGCTCATGTGCTAGACCCTTGCACAAGCTAGGTTGAAGTCAGATGGAACTGAGGGGGGTCAGGAGTGAAAGCTGAGAGGTGGCTCATAATTAAGCTAGGAGCTCAGGGGAGACTAAGTTGATATTCAGACTGGGGAACTAAGTACAATGTACATAGGGTATATATACCAAAGACCAGCAACCCAAAGGCTGGGGCTACCAGTGAGGGGCTAAATAGTGATGCAAGGAACTAACTAAGAGTTAAGCAAGGAGGCAGGGATTGGGAGGCTGAAGGCAGACACTGCCTCAGCACAAGTGAGGGCAGTACAAGGGCTAACTAGAAAAGTATAGTGAGGAAGAGAGTATATTCCTGGCATTTGGTGTTGGCTCAGCATTCAGAACATAAGACTGAGGTGTGAGTTTCTTGGTATATGACAGTATCCCCCCCTTAGGGTTGAGCCCCCAAGACCTGCCCTAAGGTACACAAGGTTGGCAGTCACCATGCCAGTAGAACACATGTGTCCTGGGGTTAAAAAGGTGCACTCTTGTGAAAACTGTTTTCTCCTGACCCCTCCATCGTCTCTTACACTGGGCACAAGTGGCCTCAGATTGTGGTTATCTTAACATTATGTGCCAGCCTGAGGACATGTGCATGAATGGTCAGTGGTCTGGGTCAGAGGGTGGGGAGGAAAGAGAGCTCCAGGCAAGGAAGGAAGAAGTGTTTGAGGGGGACTCTGAGTGAGTATGCTGGTCTGAGCTGAATGCCAATGTAAATACTGTACATATACTTTCAATGCATCAATTGTCTTAGTATAGTAAGGGAAAGTAAGAACAAGAAAAAGAAAAGAAAGGTAGAGGAATGATTAGCTAGGGATTGGTCTGGGTTTACCAGGATAACTGGCATGAAAAGTGGCAAGTAGATCTTTGGCATTGCCCAGCTCAGTGGCTAGTAGCCAGGATGTCTCCTTGTGTCATATGCTGAGAAACCCACAGCTCAGTCTTACATTCTGAATGCCAAACCAATGCTGAACACCAAAAATGTACTCAGTTCCTCACTATACTTCTCTAGTTATTCTTTGTACTGCCCTCACTTGTGCCAAGGCAGTGTCTGCCTTCAGCTCTCCAATCCCTGCCTCCTCATTTAACTTTTAGTTAGTTCCTTGCACTGCTATTTAGTCCCTCATTGGTAACCCCAGCCTTCAGGTTGCTGGTCTTTGGTATATATACTCTACATAGATTGTACTTAGTTCCTCAGTCTGAATATCAACTTAGTTCACCCCCTAAGCTCCTAGCTTAAGCTTGAGCTGACTCTCAGCTTTTGCTCCTGACCCCCCATGGCTTACTCTGACTTCAACCCAGCTTGTGCAAGGGTCTAGTGCATGAGCTAAGACCAAGGGTTGTTGCACCTGGCACTTGGCCTTCAGCCTTTGATCCCCAACCTAGTCACAAACTTAACAGTATATTCAGACTACCACTTGTGCAAGTCATTCACCACCCATGACCAGAACCTGTACCCAAGCTTGAGCAGACCATGCTTTAGAATCCACCTCTGCCTCAAGACCAACTCAACCAGAAACCTCAGACAACCCTTGCCAGTCACTGCTGGACTTCTGTGATCATGTAGCAGTTCCAAGGATTTTCAGCCTGTTGTTCCAGTACTACACTGGCTTCCAATGATCAAGGTACACCAACACCAGCTGGTCATCAACCTCCCACTCCCTTTGGCAACCCCAGAGGTGATAGCAATGACAACCTGGATGACTCTGACCATCACTCCAGTGATGGTGACAATAATAACAATGATGATCCTTTCAGGCCCAACCCTGAGGAAGGTGAAAATGAGGAAACTGTTAAAATATCCCAATACTCAGCACTCTATGTGCACAGAGTCAGTAACTAAATTGTTGTCTATGTAGTTTTACACACCTATGTGCACAGAGTCAGTAACTAAAGAACAAGATACTCTGTGCACAGTAAAAATGCGAACACTGAACAAACAAAGAACAACTGAAGACAATAAGTGCACACATCATTAATATGGAAGGTGGGGAACCTGGCAATTAGTCTGAGGTGCACAGGCACTAATAGCAACAGTACATCACTGTGGACGAGTTCTAGAGGCCGTGAAGCGTGCCAGGATGAGGTAGGGAAGGGATTGGCATGCATCTTGCCAGCCAGGCAAGGTTCACAGACAGGGTCAGGTGTAGACTTTGAGTCTATGGCCATTCCAGTCACCAGTTTTCGCTGTAGGAGCGATTTAACACCAGCTAGATGGTGGTGGGCAAGTCTCCTCTGCCATAGGTCAAGGTCCAGAGGTAGGGTAGTTGCTGCTGAGGCATACTCAGTGAGGGGAACAGTGTCACCCTCCAGGAGTGCAGAGTTGTTGTCCGAAATTCGCGCAATGAAGAGAGGATGTCGAGTGCGCAGCCTAAAGGCCATCTGCGAAGAGTTGATGCTCACAGTGAAGCCCCTGGTGCGGCAGAGAAATAAAACAGATAATAGATTATTGCGAAGAGCAGGGACATGCAGAACATTGCTAAACTCGACAGCAAGACGCTTTTGACCTCCCACCACAGGCTCAAATAGCACAGACCCAATCCCAGCTGAATAGACGATTTTATTGTCTGCTAGCTTGATAGGAACGCATTTTGGGCTGTAATTTCGCAGCCAATGGCGATGGGGCGTCATATAAGCAGTGGCGCCCGAGTCTGCGATCCAATGGATGTCGGCATCGAGTTGTAGAGGGCACAGAAGGGAGGAGGGGTCAGGGAAGCGAAGACTTGCATTTCCAGCAAATTCTACAGCTTGGGACATGCTCTGGTTCGATGAGGGAGTTGTTGGCACTGTCCCAGTTGCCTGGGAGGACGCAGGAGGCGAGGATGCTTGATTTGCAGTGTTGGCAGGTTGGTTGTCCTTCTTATTCTTCCTAGAGCGGTAGAAGGCCTTAGATTTCTCCATCCTTTCACACTTATGGATACAGTGCCCTTGATAATCACAGAATGAGCAAGGGGACGAAGATGGGCACGTGCAACTTGCAGAGGAGGTGAATGACGCGTGTTCCGATCTGCCTGCATCAGGGCGGCGCTTCCACTGCAAT